AGGCTTTGGGCCCTAACATATTTTTTTTTAGTTCTGAAGTGGATTTAGCATTTGACTAATACTATATAATAATAGAAGAAACACTATATCCTTTTTAAAAAGATTTTATTTTTAAGTAATCTCTACACCCAACATGGGGCTCAAACTCACAATCCAGAGATCAAGAGTCACATGCTCCATCAACGGAGCCAGCCAGGTGCCCCTGGAAGCCTATATTCTTATGTCCTCTGACCAAGTTTTCAAAATATTAAACAAGGAGTGAAGAAATAGAAGGTCATTAAGTTAAAAGCTTAAAGGGGGACATATTTTAGAAATAGGAGTGAGGAGTCCTTGTTTCTCTTTAGGAGTGAGCAGGGGGTCCCTGAAACAGAGAGCCAGGATGATGTTCTGGTCAGAGCCACTGTAGTGGAGTAAAAAAGGACAACTTGGAATGAGTCAGCTTCCTCTAGGTGTGTGGGCATTTGTTCATCAGCATGGGTTTGTTCATCAGCCACATTGTTAATTTATAAAAACCCACTCCCTATTACATCCAAATCTCCACCATACTGGATACATTGGGGGCACATTAACATTCTTCACAGGAGGCATCAGTGTAGTAAATCTTTTTAATGCATACTTCTCAATAGGTCCTGTATTCTAATTTTATTTTGATATTCACCAGCCTACCCCTTATTGGGCTTCTCATTGCAGAATTTTAGGTCTCAATATGGCACTTGATTTTGTGGCTGAAGAGTAGGCTTTAGCTTGGGAACTTTCGACAAAACTTCACCTAGAGTAAGACCCAACTTCTAAGTAGCTTAAAACTGAGTCCCCTGAACCAAGTCACCATTTTGTCACAGATTGTACAACCCTTTGGTATTCCTCACCTAAAGGGGATTAAATATAAAGGGGCTATAAAATGTTTCTCTGCTGCTACTAGGAATTTATACAAAGGATGCAGGAGTGCTAATTCATGGGGGCACATGTAACCTAATGTTTATAGCCCCCCAATCAACAATAGCCAAAGTATGGAAAAAGCCCAAATGTCCATCAACTGACGAATGGATAAAGAAGACATGGTTTATAAATACAATGGAGTATTACTCAGCAATCAAAAAGAATGAAATCTTGCCATTTGCAACAATGTGGATGGAACTGGAGAGTATTATGCTAAGTGAAATAAGGCAGTCAGAGAAAGACAGATACCATATGTTTTCACTCAAATGTAGCATTTGAGAAACTTAAAAGAAGACCATGAGGGAAGGGAACGGAAAAAAATAGTTACAGAGAGGAGGCAATTAATAAGAGACTCTTAACTATAGAGAACAAACTGAGGGTTGATGGGGGGAGGTGGTGGGGAAGGGAAAATGGGTGATGGGCATTGAGAAGGGCACTCATTGGGATGAGCCCTGGGTGTTGTATGTAAGTGGTGAATCACGAGAATCTACTCCCAAAGCCAGGAGCACACTGTATATACTGTATGTTAGCTAACTTGAGAGTAAATTATATTTAAAAACATGTTTCTCTGCTATTTGTATTAACTCTTTGTGTGTTAAATTCCTGGTCAGGCAAAGTTCAAGTACTGTTTAAATAACAACAGAATCTAGATGAGCTACTGTTTAATTATCTGTGAGGAATATATTAATTTTTCCCCTATAGATCATTATGTTAAACTCTGTCTCTGACCTTCATGGCTACATTGACAAAAGCCAACTGACAGAAGACTTAGGGGGAACTTTGGAATATCGCCATAGTCAGTGGATAAATCATCGAACTGTAAGTACCAACTTATGTGCCCTTTTTATTGTTTTTCCTTATTTTCCAGTAGGCAGGGCAGTTAAAGTTGGGCAGTCATTGCCCATGACTATCTAAGATACAGAAGGTTGGTTTTTCTAAGCCACAGGTAGGGGAGAAATGGGGCGGAAGGGAAAAGGCTGGGCTTGTCCTGCTGACTACCTTCACCTTACTTCATCATCTGGCATGGGGGATTGGGGGAACTTGATTTAGAATGCACCTGGGGAGAATGCAAAATACGAGCACCATGCTAAAGCGGAGAAGTTAATTTGCTTGGTCAGGGATGGGTCTCAGACAGTGTTCCACACAACTCCCCAGATGATTCTAATGTATAGACAGATCAAAATCCACCAAGTCAGAAGGAGCTGTATTTGACTATTGTCACAATTATTTACTGTCTGACTTTGGGTCAGTTATTAAACCTCTTTCAGCTTGTTTTCTCCCCTGTTAAAATGGAACTAACAGTGGTTTTCAGCTGAGGGCGATCTGAGACTTTTTTTCTAGTCATAACTTGGGAGGAAGTGTATTACTGGCATCTAGTGGGTAGGAGCCAGGTATGCCGTGAAACCTCTTATAATGCATGAGACAGCCTCCAACAAAGAATTGTCCAGCCCAAATGTCAATAGTGCCAATGATGAGAAACCTCAGACTGCCTGAAAGTTTAACATGAGACCAAGTGATGTAATGTGTGTGAAAGCACCTGACGTGGTATTTTACTTGTCACTCTACTCACTCATAGCAAGGGTTATCATGCTAAACTAGAAGGGTCAGTCAAGTCAAGAACAAAGTGGGATTGAAACTCAAATAATAAGTGTTTCTGTATAAATTCCCCTTTCCCCACTCTTCTAGCCCTAGCCCCTTGAAAAGACTGGGTTTTCTGAGCCAAGTCAGAAGCTTCCTTCACCACCCCAGTGACAACTGGCAGTGTCAGCCCACCTCTCTGTGTATCTGGTCACTTTGGAAACATGTTGCCCAATATTTAACCAATGAACACCTGAACTACATTTAATTTGGAAGGAGAATTCACTCTCCTTTAGAGTGTAAAGCTTTGTGATTTTTTTAAAGGAAATTTTAAGAACTAAACAAAAATAGATTTCTAGCAACACATTATATATGCAACATTTATTGCATTTCTAGCAACGCATTTATTTCAAAGCTACGGATTCTGATCCTTCCCTCACTTCTTTGTATGCCATGTAATTCTAAGGAAGACATGGCCCTTCCCAAAACCTAAAGAACCTGGGCAGGAACCCTTTAAATTTCTCATGAGTTTTACCACAGTAACTGTGGCTCCTAGAGAATCTCAGGAATTAAAAAAAGGAATGGTGACATTCTTCACAAACATATTATTCTAAATAGGTCTAAATATAAAAGATACGGAGGGAAGCTTATGTAGAATATCACACACAAATAAGTGTGATCAGGGTCATCCTATGTTGCAATTTCATTAAACCATATGAAAAGTGGAACTGGAGTGCTTCTAGGCTTCATTTCTTCACTTCCTAGGACTTTATTACATTACTTTAGTAATCAAAAGAAGTTAGTGTCCCACCCAGCCTTACTGCCTAGCTAGCTCTCCCTTTTCCTCTGATTTCTCTACCAATTCTTTGTTTTATTATGTTCTTCATGTTTTTTCCAAGTTGCCTCAGATCTTTTCTGATATAACAAAAGTTTGCAGCAAATAAAGAAAAAACACAAATGCCCCTTGATGTCAAAGACTAGACTACTTCTCTACGAACTTAGAGAGGTAAAGAAGACTGAACCATGAACATAGATTATTTAAAGACATAGCATGAGCAGACATGTGCACACAGTTTCCCACCCCAAGCCCAGTTTGTATCCTTGGTTAGTGTGTGTGCATGTGTTAAATATATTATGGTGAACTTTAAAAAATACAGATCTTTTTTGGGGGAACAGTGTACTTTCTGGCTGTCGGATCATTGAGACTCATTAGAACTGAAAAGAACCTTAAAGATCATTTATTTCAATTACCTTATTTTATAGGTAAGGAAACTGACCTTCAAAGTAAAGAAGTGACTTATCCAAGGTTATACAGTTGAGTAGTGGTAGAGCCAAGACTAAGGCTAAGCTCTTTTTCATCACCCCATCAGTGTCAGGTCCTTTGTACCATTTCCAAGGTGATTGTTTGCTAATCAGATACCTGGAATCAAGTTAATTTGTTAACAGACTCTCCATAGGAAACGCCTGGATTTCCTCTATTTCCTGTATTTTCCTCTATTTCATCTGCAGGCCTGGCACCTGACTCTCAGGGTTGTTACTGTTATTATTATTACATTTGCAAGGTACTGTACTGTGCCCAAGTCCTTTCACATTTGCTATTCCATTGATCCTCAAAAAACCCCTGCAAAAACAGAGCAACCATTATTCCCGTTTTTCGGATGAGGACACTAGGACTCAGAGTAATACCTGGCTTACTTAAGATCACACAGTTAGAGATCAGAATCTGAACTCTAATTCAAGTCTGAAACTCCAAAAGCCAAGATTTTTTTGTTGGTTTAATTTTAAATCTAGTTTTGTGAAATCTAGTTTTTATTGCTAAGAGGTGGTATAGCATATAGCGCTTAAGATGGCTGGCTCTGGGTTCAATTCCAGTTCTGCCACTAATTTTTTATATGACTTTGGGGAAGTTACTTAACCTGAATTCACCTTAGTTTCCTAGTCTATAGATTGTGGTGATAATAGTAACCTATTTGAGATGCATTACAAGAGGTAGTGCATATAAAGCAAAATATTTAGGGTGGGTGATGGGTATTGAGGAGGGCACCTTTTGGGATGAGCACTGGGTGTTGTATGGAAACCAATTTGACAATAAATTTCATATATTGAAAAAAAATAAAAAATAAAAAAATATTTAATATCATATTTTCTTATAAGTCCTCTGATAAATTGGATTTTTATATGTTATTCATTATAGGCTATTGGTGAATGACGTTGAGAGAGTATCTTACACAGATATTAGGTTATGTAAAAGTAATAATACTTTGATGTGCTTGAAAGATTTTCATAAAAGTTAGTGGTTGTCTGAATTTCCAGGCCAAAAGAACTATGATGTTCAAGATTGCAACTGTATAAATACTTGTGCTAATAGGGGAGATTCCACCAACAACAATAGGGGAAACTCATTACAGATAAGGAAACGGACCTTCAAAGTAAAGAAGTGACTTATTCAAGGTTATACAGTTGATGGTGGGTGCCTGGTTGGCTCTGGTAGAACATGCGACTTTAGATCTCAGGGTCATGAGTTCAACCCCCACACTGGGTGTAGAGCTTACCTAAAAAAAATGGTTAAAGGACAAAGACTTCAGTTTCAGACAGTAGGCGGGGGTGTGCTATGCTCCAGAAGCCTTATAGCTCCAGCCTCAGCTCTGGCCTCTGGTGCAGAAAAGGGCCACCTCATGTCTGGCACATTCTTTATGATGAGCATCTGGGTTTTCAGAAATGTTCTCTGATGATATAAGATCAGAGGTAATTTTTTCCCAAGTGAAAATTAGGTTAGACCTCTTTGCTACTATCAGTTATCCATCTAGCAGCTGTTTATGGGCCACCTATTATGTGACAGGCATAGTACCATTTGCTGGGGTAACAGAGATGAATTGCGCTTGCCCTTCAAGGGCAAAGTTGTCTCAGGAGCAGGGGGAAGTGGGCATAGTAGAACCCATCTGGCTGAGTAGAATGATTTGTGGGATTCTTAAAAGCCACTTACTTTCAACTAAATCTGCTGATGATCAGTATCACTTTTTCTAGGTTAGGCTACATGTTTACTGCTAAACTGTACTGAGTAAAATGCAGATATCTCACCTGGGATATGAGGTGTGAAGTTACTCATAAGTTAGTAGGTATTCATTTAATGGCAGAGTAGTGTCCTTAGTGGAAGGTCAATTTTTATAAAGAAGTGACAGGCAGAGGTCCCCAACGCCTTATCACATGTGATAAAAGTAACTCTCTGAAAGGTCACTAGCGACTTACCTAATCACTACATCCATCTTCTCCCTTGGGGTCAAACTTGCTTCCCAAACTTAGTGACTTTAGTTGAATCCTGCCTTCTTTCCTTCCTTACTGCTCAAGCAATACTATCTTGGGCAATTCACTTGACCTGTTGGAGCTTCAGTTCCCTCTTCTATAAAATGGAGATAAAATACCTTCCATTCTGGATTGTTGAGATGATAGACAAATGTATAGCACCAAGTACAATGCATGGCCCGTTGCAGGTACTCAGGAAATGGCAGCTAGTTGTACTGTCCTTCTATTCAGAGAGCATATTGGTGAATGTTAAGCTGTCCTCATTGTTATGTCTGACCTTCCAGGCCATTGAAAACTTTGCCGTGACATTGAAGACTACTGCCCAGATGCTCCAGATGTTTGGGGCCTGCCTAGCCACAACAGAGCTGCCCAGGGGCCTGCTGTCCACTGAAGACCTCCTCATGTCCCACACAGGGCAGCGGGACAAGCTGCAGGTGAGTGGCCAGTGGCCTTGGAGAGAGCCAGGAGCAGAATTAAAAGTGAAGTCCTCTTCTTCCCCCTTTTCTGGTGACTTGGCAGCAGTTGATCATCTTAAATCTTCTAGATAGGCAGTATGTAAAGAGGAAAACCTCTTGAGACTGGTCCATGAGTGTAAAAGGATTGTAATTAAGACCTGTGAGAAGCAGCCCTGTAAAGGGAAACTCATTCCACCATGTGAGACAGGTGTGTGAACCTCCTCTCAAGTGCAGCACCCCTATGATCTGTTTGGGACAGAGCAAGATATGATGGATATGGCTGCAGTGAATGAAGGAGGGGTGGCAATTGTCTTTTGAGGCATAAGCTTTCCTGAGCCTATTGTGAGGTTTTGGGGCAAACTAATAACTAATAACTTTGGGGCAAACTATTGCTTCACTTTCTCAGGGATGTATCTTTTTATTTGGGGAGTAATTTGAGAAAGAAGACATGGAAGGTGCTCTGAACTGGGTTTAAGGAGAAGCACCTATTAACTATTCATAAAATCATGTCAGAGCCTGCTAAGAATGGAGGCTGGTAGATTCTTTCAGGTCATGCAGTAAAGGGAGGTGTCTTCCTGGGGCTTATAGGAAGGGTTTCAGCTCTTTTCTACTTCCAGAAGCGTAAATGGACCAAACCCATCATTTCACCAGAAGACCAGAACACCATTGGGCAGCAAACTGGGGATCAGAAGGTCAATGCATCTTAGCATTACATGTATTCTTGCTGCATGGAGCTTGAGAAGAGCTGACCTCTTTTATTTGTGGCCCAAAATTTACAAAAACGCTTTGCTAGGTGGTTGATTTGCTCATTTAGCCAGCATTATTGACCACCTACCACTACATGTAGGCAAAACAAACCAAAAAAGTGCAAACTTAAGGAACACATAGTTGAGTTAGGGGAGTCTCAGGGTCTAGCGGCTAAGGCAAATTAATTCTTCCATGTGTCAGGGAGCACTATTAAATTCTCTTTGGAAGGAGCTGGATATCCAAAAAAGAGTTCAAAATATACTTTCCACATTACTCTGAATAATTAAAAGATCTGGTTTGAAACTGTGAAAACCTGAAAACATACTAGAACTTTTCCCTGGAAATGTCTCTGATGACCTTGACAAGCACGCACAACCTAGCACACCCTTCCTGTTCCTGTGTGTGCTTTTTACACCTGGATGGAAACTTAGGGCACATCTTCAGAGCACGTGCAGGCAGGTGTCCCAGGATCTTTTGCATATTGGATCCTTCTCCGAGGAGAGCTTCTACTTCCTGAGTAAGGGTGACTTTGACAGGCTATGAGCTGTCTCTCAGTTTACAAACAGTATGCTGGCATTCACCCTGCTGCCACTAGGACCTTGTCTGTGCAAAGAGGAAATTCACTGAAATTCTATGGACTTCTATGGATGTTCCCAGAAGCGTATCCCTGAACTCCTTCTGTAGCCTGAGTGCTGACAGTAAAAAAAATTAAATACCCCAAATGATTAAGGAGGTTTTCTCTTCATGGGAATGAAAACTCCTTAAGCCCTTTGGACCGTGTGACAACTGGATATCCATGTGAAAAAGAAGGAAATTGGATGCTTACCTCACCTTGTCCACAAAAATTAACTCAAAATTGGTCAGGGAACTAAATATAAGTTCCAAAATTATAAAACTCTTAGGAGAAAATATAGATGTAATTTTTTATGACCTTACATTAGGCGATGGTCTCTTAGGTACCACACCAAAAGCACAAACACCTAAAGAAAATAAATAAAGTAGACATCACCAAAATTAAGAACTTTTGTGCTTCAAAGGACACTATCAAAAAGGTGAAAAGACAACCCGCAGAATGGGAAAAAAATATCTACAAATCATGTATCTGATGAGAGTCTAATATTCAGAATATATAAACAACTCTTGGAGTACCTGGGTGGCTCCGTTGGTTGAGCATCTGACTGGCTCAGGTTGTGATCTCACAGTTCTTGAGTTCCAGCTCCGCATGGGGTTTGCTGCTGTCAGCAGGGAGCCTGCTTTGGATCCTCTGTCCTCTTCTTTCTCTGCCCCTCCCCCACTTGCTCTTTCTCTCTCTCTCTCAAAAATAAATAAAACATTTTTTAAAAAATTAAAAAAATAAACAACTCTTACAACTCAACCTTTATAAAAAGACAAATAACCCAATTAAAAAATGGGCAAAGTAGGGGTGCCTGGGTGACTCAGTTGGTTAAGCATCCGACTTCAACTCAGGTGGCTCAGGTCATGATTTTATGGTTGGTGAGTTCGAGCCCTGTGTCAGGCTCTGTGCTGACAGCTCAGAACCTGGAGCCTGCTTTGGATTCTGTGTCTTCCTCTCTCTCTGCCCCTCCCCTGTGTGAGCTCTGTCTCTCTCTCTCAAAAATAAATAAGCTTTAAAAAAATGGGCAAAGGATTAGAACAGGCATTAGACAGATAAATGGTTATTAAGCACATGAAGACATGTGCAACGTCATATATTGTTAGGGAAATGCAAATCAAAACTGCAGTGATATACCCACTAGAGTGGCACTAATTAAAAAGGTGGGCCATAATAAGTGTTGATGAGGATGTGAGGGAATTGGAACCCTCATACATTGCTTGTGGGAATGGAAACTGTCTGGTAGGTCCTCAAAAAGTTAAACATAAAGTTACCATATGACCCAGAAATTCTACTTCTACGTATGTACATAAGAGATTTGAAAACATGTTTTATATAAAAAGTTACACATAAATGTTCATAGCAGCATAACACCCCAAAAGTGGAAGCAACCCATGTGTCAATAAGCTGATGAGGGGATAAAAAAAATGTGGTATATCCATACAATGGAATATTACTCAGCCATAGAAAGGAAGTACCAATACATGCTTTAATATGTATGAACTTTGAAATAATTACGCAGAGTGAAAGAAGCAGACACAAAAAGCCACATATTGTACAATTCTACCTATATGAAATGTCCAGAATAGGTAAATATGGAGAGAAAGGTAGATTAGTGGTTTCCAGGGTCTGGAAAGAGGGAGAAATGGAGAGTGATTGATAATAGGTATGGGGTTTCTTTTTGAGGGTTATGAAAGTGTTCTGGGGAGAAAACATGGACTTGTATGCATTAAAAGGGTGAGTTTTAGGGGTGCCTGGATGGCTCAGTGGTTGGGCATCTGACTCTTGACTTTGGCTCGGGTCATGATCTCACAGTTCAGAAGATCAAGCCTGGCTTCAGGCTCTGCGCTGATGGTGCAGAGCCTGCTTGGGATTCTCTTTTTCTGCCCCTCCCCTGCTCGTGTGCGCACGCACGCTCTCTTTCTCAAAATAAATAAATAAAACTTAAAAGAAAGTTTTATGGTACTATACGAATAATATCTCAATTTTTTAAAAAAGAAAAAGATCTGGGGCGCCTGGCTGGCTCAGTTGATTAAGCGTCCGACTTTGGCTCAGGTCGTGATCTCACTATTTGTGGGTTCAAGCCCTGTGTCGTGCTCTGTGCTGACAGCTTGGAGCCTGGAGCCTGCTTCGGATTCTGTGTTTCATTCTCTCTTTGCCGCTCCCCCACTTGTGCTCTGTCTCTCAAAAATAAACAAATGTAAAAAAAAAATTAAAAAAAAAAAAAAGAAAGAAAAATATCTTTGGGCCTAAAATAATAATAAAATAACCATGAACCCTATACAGGTACGTGCTTTTCATACTGTTTATGATAGCCCTACAGACCTTCTTTCTTAGCAAAACAGCTCTTCCTGTTGTCTAATTCCATGTTGGTTTTGGAAGCAGTTCACAGAGGCAGGCAGTCTTCCTTCTGAGTCCCAAAGGAGGTGATTCTCACCTCTTTGAAGGTCTTATTTTGGGGCAGAAACCCCAGGGCCTCGGCCTTATACTCTCAGATACTTAAGTCAACTGACACACTTTACCATGTGTCCAGGTAAATAGGGTAAGACTCTCATATTTTGTTGTTGTTGTTGTTAAAATAAGAAATCCAACAGGGCCATAGTCCTTTTTCTCATCATGTAGGAGGAAAGTGCCAGTGGTCCTTTGATTATGTGATAGAGCACTCTTCTACAAATATGAATACTGTTTAGCATTTAATATTTGTTCCATTCAGAATTTATCCAATTGTGTATTCAGAGATGACAATTCTATCAGCATTTCCAGGGTTACAAATAATCAAGAAGATAATCAGAGTAATAAGTGATTTTTTGTAGGCCCTAGAAATAATTTACAGTCTTAGGAGGGTTTTTTTTTTTTTTTTTTAATTTTTGAAAGACAGAGAGAGACAGAGCACAAGTAGGGGAGGGGCAGAGAGAGAGGGAAACACAGAATCCGAAGAAGGCTGCAGGCTCTAAGCTGTCAGCACAGAGCCCAATGCGGGGCTTGAACCCACAAACTGTGAGATCATGACCTGAGCCAAAGTCGGACGCTCAACCGACTGAGCCACTCAGGCGCCCTACAGTCTTAGGAGTTTTTAAAGACCCCATTGTTTAAATTCTACTTGCAGAGAATATGTTAAAAATGCATAGGCACAGAGGTCTTGATTTTGCACAGGAAGATGAAATTGCTATTCTTATTAATGTTTTCAGTGTTAATGCCTTAACAAATCAGGGTTTTTGGACTAGTTTTATACCACAAGAAGATATCTCTCAGTATCTGCTGAGGAAAGAGGATATATCATCTCTTTTATGGACTTCTTTTTTCTCAATTATGAGGACTTGCATTTTATTTATTTTTTATTTATTTATTTATTTTTTCAACGTTTATTTATTTTTGGGACAGAGAGAGACAGAGCATGAACGGGGGAGGGGCAGAGAGAGAGGGAGACACAGAATCGGAAACAGGCTCCAGGCTCCGAGCCATCAGCCCAGAGCCTGACGCGGGGCTCGAACTCACGGACCGCGAGATGGTGACCTGGCTGAAGTCGGACGCTTAACCGACTGCGCCACCCAGGCGCCCCAGGACTTGCATTTTAAAGGCCACATTCTAGAATTCATTATTCAGCATTATAAAAAAAACCCAGCATGGTAGAGCTAACGTGTAGTGGCAGAAATGGGGTAATAAAAGCTAAGTAAGGAGTCTAAAGTATTAGTCATTCATATAATCTCTGGGCTTTGATTCATCCTTTAACTTCCTCCCCCACCTCCACCCCCAGCCCATGACACAGCCAAACACAGCACCTGGCATGAATAGTAGTGCTTTTAAATGTATTTTGACAGACTGACTGACTGACTGAATGAATGTCTACATTTAGGCTTACCCTTGTCATAGGAAAGAATTCTCCCCAGAAAATTTAAATTCCTTTGAGCCTGAAGCAATCTGCTTGCCCTATTAAGTGGGTCTTTTGAACCAACTGCTTGTTTCCATAATAGTGGAATTGTAATGATAAGTACACACTGGGACAGCCATACCAGTTGTTAAATATTTATGTTCCACAAGTGCCCAACTTTACCTCTCTGGCCCATTTCCTAGGACCCATGAGACCTCCTCATGTTTCTGGCATCAAAAGGGGTTAACACGTGGATAGCAGTTGGCCTCAGGACTGCTTCAGTATTATATCTGACATCTGTGCTGATTGGTTAATGACTGCTCTAAACAGTTATTAAATATTTTGAATTGTTACTACTATGGACAAGGGAAAACTCCATTTTTGTCCTGGGCAACTTACCTTTTCACTTTCCAAGTATCATAGTTCCTCAATCTTTCCCTGTGTATTTATGGCAGATTTTTGTAACCCTGCTAAAGCTAACCCTGCTAGGCCATATATGGCCTAGTCCCAAAGCAGCAACCAGTCATAATTTTTCTTTGTATATATATATAT